AATTCCATTTCTGTGTTCACTGCACTTCACAGCAAGTTCACACACACATACACATACCAAATAGACATCTATTATTGCAGTGTGATTATCAAGGAGGCATACATTCTGTTTGGTTTTATTTTAATTATTTTTTCCTAATTTTGATGAGTCGTTAAGGGATTATGAGCCAAGCATGTTATGGACTCTTGCTTCAAATACTTAAATTTTCCAAAGAGCAAAATGGATGCTTCAGTGGGCTACATAGTAGCATGATTGCCTCAATGTCCTTGAAGTAAATATTATTTACTGCATCACAGTCTAGGTTAGAGTCTTAAATTCATGTCCTTCGTTTTAGGATGTGAAACTTTGACATGTGGGCAATAAGAACCCCTAAAATGTAGAAGCTCTCTCAAAGAGGTATCTTATTAGCTAGCAATTCAACATAATGATTCTTTACACTTTAAAAGCCCTTTACTTTAAAAGCCATCTACTCCAAATGCTGTAAGTTTATAAACCAAGATGTCTACACAATGGTGATGGTAAAAAGGAAAAAAAAAAAAAGTTAGCAATGCAGATGTTCTCTGAAATTTTATCTGTCTCCTTTTATCTAGTTTTTAAAACCAGCCCCATTTTCCTAATTTAGGAAGGGGGCAAAAAGGTCCATGAGATACATTAGTAAAAATGTCTTGCTTAAATTCATGTAAGCAGATAGAACACATCTACTGAAGAAAAATATGATTCTTCTTAAATAGTTAGGCACAAAAATTACTAAAATCATTCCTCATGCCTCATCTGATTTTAATAGAAGCATATATCAGCACTGGTCACTTTGATAATGAGCTTCTCCTATGAGCTTAAACACCAGAATACTGCCAATAACCTGAAAGCAACTCTGTAGACTTTATCTCACCTTATTTCTTAAATGGTCCTGCCTAAATATTTACTCTTTCTATCATAATAAAATTATCTCCCTCTACCCTCCAAGTAATAGTGTGAGCAGGAATCACATACATTCATCATGTGGAATTCAGATATTAGACTTGCCTTCCTGCTTCAGTCTCTCCATCTTAGTTCCTTAGATAACAAATGCTACATCAGGTTTCATAATTATAACTTCTGATGAAAACAATGTATCTGAGGGTGAAAAACAAATCAAAAAATTCAGAACACCTGTACTGCCATCTTTTGTTGTACAGAGTTCCCTTTATACCCAGTTGCAAGCAGAATAACTCCACATAATATTAAGTCTGCTACTTGGAAGTATATCCATGGATTCCCACCAATGACTTGGTCTTACAGGCTACAAGACTGTTACTGGTGACCAAATGCATGCTGCTTGTTTTTGCCACCATAAATAAAACTGATGAAAATGTTAACCTTAAAAATGCAGGAAGTCAGAAAATATTTATTGGGAAGAGGGCTGCAAAATACTGGGAAATATATGCATTATATAAAAGCAAGTGCACTGACCCAGTATTCAGTAATTAAATTTATATTTAACGAGACTTATGACAGTGTGTATCTATTCATTGCAACACACTTTAGATATAATGGATATATGCAGATTTCATCATCTAGATAAAATGATCATGAATACAGATGTTTAAAGTATGAAATTATGTCCTTTGATACATCATAATTTTATTTTTTTAAATTTATATCATATGCAATGTAAAAATGTGGAGTCATAAAATATTTCCTCAAATTACTTCCTGCTTTGCATCTCTAAGTTTTAAAAATGAAACAGTTGGGAGCACAATTCATATACCTATAAACCAAAGAAGGGTACAGTTTTAAATAATTATGTCAAGAAATGACAACTGTACTCTTTGTAGAAGCAGAGATGAATAATTACAAAGCTGGGACATAATTAAGCAATTTTGACTGTCGTATTCTTGAGCTGTCTTTCTGATGTGAAATGCTGTCATGCCCAGAAACGCACTTCACACTGGACAGGCATCTTCCTCTTTGATCTACACTTGTGCCAGTGAAATGAGGTCATGATCTGGTCATTAAAACAAGGCTTCCTCATCTGGCTCAATGCCTTTTATCCAGCCAGACTTATCCAACCCTTATTAAAAGCAGGCATGATACAATGTTCAATATTTTGACAAAAGAACACATAAACATCACAGAATAATGAAGTTTAGCTCACTTTTACAGTGAGAAGGAACACTGCATTGTAACATTGTAACATGTTTTCTAATAAATGACTGTATCTTTCCATAAGACAGTCATATCACAAACAGATGCATTTTCAACAAAGGATGAAATGAAGCAAAGCACAAGAAAATGCAGTGTTCTGTTAAAAAAAAAATTAGGAAAAATGAAAGTAAAAAATTTATACAAAATAAAATATTTATGACTTAGTGATGACTGGTGATTGCTAGATACTTTTGCATTTGAGTAAACACAAGCTACTCAGATGGAAATTTCTTGCTTTTATTCTCATTTTGTGTATTTTTTTCTTGGTGGGGTGTTTTGCTCTCCCAAGTATTTTATGTCAAGACTAAAATGAAAACAACTACCCACATCACAGCCTCTTTAGATCATCAGTCTGCCTTTTATGCTGAATAAGCCATAGCATCTCCTGCTTATCATAATGGGGGGAAAAAACCCTTTTAGTTTGGGTTTTTTTCTGAAAAAGTAGGTCTGATAGGCTCACTGTTGTTGCTACATCTGGCAGAATATTTTCATGTGGCATCTGCCAACATAAAAACTAATCACTCCATCTCCTTTCCTGGCAAGCATAGGCTGACACAGTGGCTCCTACCTCAGGTGAAAGGAAAAAAAAAATTACTATTGGGAAGTTCACTGTGATCAAGGTCTTATAGCCCTAGGTCAACTGACTAAGGAGTTTTTCTGATGACAAATACTGAGTTTTTCTGATCACCAATACTGGATGTGCTGCAATCTTTCTCTCAGTTTTGGTCAAAGTGTAACCTCTAACTAGTTTCAGAATGCTTAAAATGTACCACCACTACCCGTCTGTTAAAGCTGCCTGAAGCTGGTTGAAAATCTCGACAACTATATGGGAGGGGAACTGATGAACAGAAAACACAAGATCCAGGAAATCTGAAGGCTAAAGAATAAAAACCCATTATGTATTCAATGTATAACATATGACAGAATTTGAAAGTACAGATATTGTGCACATCATCTTTGTGGTATATAGAGGAATTCTGCTTGTTATGGTCTTTGAGTACAGCTGTCAATAGCTGTATACATACCCATCTGCATCTGAAAACATATGCAGAGAGGACTCTATGAGTGTTCTCAAACATAGAGTTTGCATGCAGATGTACTACAAGCATGAATATCCTAGAAAACAAGCACAAATTCAAAACAATTTGGAGAGCTTTATAATACCTGTTCTGCATCTAATTTCATATTTATTTTAAATTAGCCATTTCTGTAATATGTATATAATATTATATGATGAGGGCAATTTTGTAGTAAGAACCATTAATTCATGCCATGAAAATCATTTACAATGATTTTACCATCAGTAATTTGTACTGAACCATTTATAAATAAGAAAAAAAGCCAACTCTTTAGGAAGGCAATAACAATGGTAAATTGGAGGCTTCTGCAAATGTGCTGAAATAAATGTATGGTTTATCATAAGACTTAGTAAATAAATAATTCAAAACTATACAAAAGGTTCAATTGTAGATATAAAAGATAAACATGTTATCCCTAAATTTGTGAGGTAATTTATCCTTAGCTATTGACTTAAAAAGAGGTTTCATCCAGAAAAGTAGCTTTAAATTTGAGAGACATTTTTTTCTTCTCTTGCACTATTAAGTTGATCACAATTCAGAGTAGGCCTTAAATGAAAAATCTAATTGTTAGTAAAATCAAGTAAACACTTCACCAGAACTAAAATCTGATAAGAAGAATTGTAAAAGAAGATGACATATGTGTGCTATACCTAACACAATTCAGCTTTTGCATTTGGCCAGACTCAAAGATGGTTTGCTGTGAATAAGTTATACAAAACAGCTTAGAATAAATTATTTCATTTATTACATATGTGAAACTGAAGTAACTAAAGGCAGTGGTAAACAATATATCGAAGCAATGCTTGTATCAGAACTGTTAACATTTTAGTAGTTATAAATGAATTAGTCTGAAAAAATTTGTAATGCACTGCAATTGTACTCATGATAATACATTTATCCAGCAACACCGTTATGCTACCAAACAGTGCATTTCCATAACTGCTTATTATTCAGTATTATTGGAAATCTGCAATAAATTATTGATGGTATATTTTAGAGAACAAAACAGCAAACGGAAAGCAAGTAGATTGAAAACTTGGGTGGAGTTTTAAGAAAGATCTGCAGCACTAAAGGACTCTGCACTCAGATTGCTGTTACCATTGATCAACAATGGAAAAAGAAGGTAAAGTGGAGAATTCACGTTTGTGTTCTGATTGCTTCAGCACCGTGTCCAGAGTTTATGCAAGTGGTATTAAATGCTGAGATTACTGAAACTGTCTCTCTGATGTTGTCAATGCTTATTAGCAAGATACCACATTCAGTAACAGCATACAAAAATAGAATCAACTGGTCCACTAAAAGCCAGTAAACACCATAGTTGTGTGCTCTGCAAGAGACATTTGAGTTTAACATACAAGGCAGGGGACAGCTTGTCAGAAAAATTGCATTCTTTCACGAAAAGTACATCACACAGGTTACACATCCTTGGACAGGGTAAAACTATTCTTTTAAGCTCAGTGACACATATTAGTTACTTTGTTATATGAAACAGAAGTTAAAAGCAGAAATTTGATAACATAGCCACATCCCAGTAAACGGATGTAACTGTAAATTTTTATATTAAAACACAGAAAAATTACTAAGGCTTTTGTCTCTCACCTAACCACATGTGTCAATCCTTACACTTGAAGGGTTTCACCTGTTACTTTAGCAAGAGACACAGCCAGGCTTTTGGAGTTATTTTAAAATGGTGTAAATGAATCATATTATTGTTACGACTTCCATTTACTCTCCTACCTTGGCATCCTTGGGCTTAACCACTTTCATGAAGGCGCCTCTTACCAAGGCTTCCTCCCTCTCCCTCCTGGTTACTTTCCGAGTATCAAGAAATTTCAGGTTCGTCAATTTATGCAGGACAAAATATCTGAGAGATGTCAAAATGCACACAGTTAAAATCCAGTAATAAAAAAAGACATACTTACAGACTAAATGACTAAAATTAACAGCAATAAACAACAGTCTTTGTTTTCTCTCTCTGTTCACCTTTTTCATGCAATATATCTTAAGTAAAAAGTTGTAATACTTACTTTACTCTCTCAAATGAAGCTTGTTGTAAACTGCCCCAAAAAATTTAATACTGGGTGGATCAAGCACAGTTATCACCATGGACGTGTATGCTCTCTATAGACTTTGGTGAGGTATAAAGTATATCAAGAAATAGGAAATTGTTTTGAACTGCCTGTTTGGGAAAAGGAATTTTGAGTGATATGAAAGATTCCATCTCACATTGCAGGGGAAAATCAATCTGAGAAATGGGAAACTGCCTGCTATCTTCTCTGAAAGAGTTCTTAGAAAACATTCTTTTTCCAACACTTCAGATTTTTTTTTATATATTCCTAAAAACACAATAATCATCAACAGTAGAGACACGTGAACAGTAAATCAGGGAGGGGTATAATTTGTCTTCTACCATACATACTAAGACACCATTCTTTGCCCTGAAAGGACTGTATGTCAGTGTTCAAAACTCTTAACATTAAAAGAAAGAATTTTTAAAGAATAAGCATGGAGTGTTATTCTGGGTCTCTACTCCAGACCTACATTTTGACAAAGTCATAATTTGGAAGGATTCCAATTTGGTCCTGCCAGAGAGACAAGGTGTCTTTATGGTATATAGATCCCAGCTCAGAATTAAGTGCAGAAGCACAGAGGGAGAGACTATTTATAGGAAACATATTTTAAGAATTCAAAGTTCTTATTAGGATTCATCAGTGCTATATTCTATTTATCATTTTTACTCAAAAGACAGCAGCTTTTTAGCTTCAGAGAAATACTATTGGCTCCTCACTTGCAGAGGGAGAGAACATGGCAGATCAAACACAAAGTAAGGCACAACCATGGCAAATCCAAATATCTAACCACCTCAAGTACATGTAATTTGCATTTAGTCAACCAAATGTGAAGCAAACACTGCAAAGTGAGGGAAGTGTCAGACTTTTCCTGGCAGGGCATAGAAAGGTGATTGATAATGTTCCCCATGCCTAGCTGTTTTCATAAAACTCCAGTCAGTCAGAGAGCTCCTAATCATACCAATCCCTTCTGGCAACGGGAGGAAGAAATCAAAGTAGTACAAAACTGCATAACATTTTGAAAGAGAATAACACACAAAAAAAAATTGTTTTAAAAGGTAAAAGTTTATCTCATAATACTGTTGTCAAGAACAGATAAACGTGAAAAAGACTGTAACGCTCCCCCTTCTAAAATCAAGCAAAATTTAACAGTGCAAATAAACCTTTCCATCAAGTACACCATTCCTCTGAGGCAACAGCTTCATAAATTGTTAACAAGTGAACTGAAAATGCTCAGTTCTTAAATGTGACTCCTCAATCTATGGCTTTCAATTATATTAGCAGAAGAAAAAGAGAGTCACTTTACTAAACAGAACATCTCCTAAGACCTTTTTTTAAACAACAGCTACAGATCTGAGACAGACACGTTCTCAGACTCATTCCAGCTTTCCTGGCTGCCCTTCCAGTCCTCCCTGGCATTTTGCTGGCCCTTATCTTTCAGTGGAGGAGAACCTATCCATCTTGCATTACTGGCAGAAAAGCTCTGATGACAACAGATTCTTTCAAATGAAGACATGCACAGAAAGAAACAATATGTCAAGAGTGAAGAAGAGTGAAGCTAAAAATGAGTAAAGACACCCACTAAGTGTAGGGTGAGAAAAGATGAATATTCAGGTGAAGAAAACATCGGTATTAGAAAATCAGCAAATGTTTAATGATGGAATGAAATATGCCATTGAAAAGCAGGCTGCAACAAAAATGACAACAGATTAAGACAGCACTGTCATCTATGCTGACTTTGGATCACAGCCCTAATGTCAGTCTCTCAATCATTTCAAAAAAGCTTAAAATTATAATAGCATTCCTTGATACAAATGTATTTTTGTATTTTTAAGCCATACTGATTGCATTTCAAAAAACAGAATTAGCACTAGTACTTGTCAATTCCAGAAACAAAACCAAAAAATCCTACCCACACAAACTAAACAGCTAACTACACAAGTCACAGGTTTGGGGTTGATTTTTTTTAAACTTGCACTTCTTAAGGAAGCAAAGGTTATCCCACTAGTAGAAGGAAGGTACATTAATAATTAATTATTTTAAAAGGTGATTAAAAATACAATCCCATTTATTCATATTCCTTTTACTAAATATGGAATAAGAAGTTTCTATGTGATTTGAAAATAGTACGATACATTTTTATTAAAAGGCTGAGGAAAAACACTGAGCTTCCCAGATATATTTTAGCTAGAAATATGAAGACGCAGCTTTAATCTAAATGTAACATAAGTTTGCCATAAAAAAATACAGGAAAGGGTTACCAAAGCCTGGGAATGAACACTCTACAATATCAATTCAACCCTTGTAAATTTAATCCAGGGTTATTTGTTGCCCAAAATCTCTTTACTGTGATGTATGACTTAGTTACTAAGGTTATCACAGTAGTATCCTAAAGTTGCATAGTACATAAAACATTTCAGTTAACAATGCAGGGAGGTTAACTCCCACAGATAACCTACTATCAGAGGGTTAGACCAGATGACATGCCTCTGTCAGCTTTCAGGAGCTATTGATGGTTCAATCAGTTTGTTTTGAAGGTAAAGTACAACAAAAGGGCACTAAACTTATTCAAACTGTCAACAGGGACTATGGAATGTTGCTTGCAGGTAAGTAATTTTGGGTGTTTTAAGACTATTATCAAACACCAATGGCTGCAGAAAAAGACAGCTACTAATAACACAGAAAGCAGCCATCATAAAATACTTTGTGGCAGGCACTGAGACCCATAAATTTTGTGACACATTGCACCTGTTTTAGACTTATAAAACACTAGTTAAAAGAATACTGCTTAAGGAAGAAAGATTCATCTAAATTTTACATTATAAGTTTAGAAAGGTTTATTTTAGGTTAGAAGTTGGAAGGGTAGGGTCTCCCTGTCCCCTCTTTTTTTCTTAATAGTCTTGAAATTTAGCACTGCACCATGTGTTCTGAGACTGCTGTTACCAGCTTTTAAAATCTTTGCAGTGGTGTGAAAAAAGGTTAATATCTTCAGTGATGAGGATAAAAGTGAGCTTCAGAGAAAGAAAAATAAAAATCAGGTAGACCAGAAAGGTGCTTAGAAAACATTGCCTGTAAACTGATCTTCTAATTCATAACAGATTAAAGAAATTAATTATGTAAGTAAGTAAAGTTACACCTTCTTTTGTTCAAATCATCTCTCCCACCTTGATTCCCAGTGCCAAGAGGCCAATGAAAATAAGCTCATAACAAATATTCAACAAACACGAAAAGGAACTCTCAGAGATGCAAAAAGACCAGAGAACATCATATTTCTTGTTATTTCCATTTTAGTTAAGTGAAAATGACAATAAAGTTTAACAACTCATTTGCCAATTTAGTAAGTGCTGCATGTGATAAGCATTATTTTAAGAGTTTTTACACAGACCTGCCAAGATATTGGAAAAGAGGGACAGGCTTGAGTGGACATTTGCAAAGGAATACAGTGAGTTGGGACTCAGCTGCTATTGACATTGGTAGAAGCTCGATGGGGCAAAGCCTTCCTTTGAAGAAACATGCTGGCATTCAGAAAGGCCCATAACAAAGACAGCTTTGAGATCAACTATTGCTATTTATTAAACAATACATGACTAACTTTTATATAAAGAAATACCATCTTTGATACTGACTCACTCTACAGCCTTAACAAATCACAGACTTGTCATCTTAACTCTGCCTTACAAAGAGGGAAACTAAGTCTTATCAGTTACCTTGCAGGCATATTCTATGTATGATTCTAGTTCTCTACTGTGTAACAATCATTACTTAAACACATAGTCCTTGGGTTATCCCCTCTTCCCCTCCCCAAAAAAAAATCACTGAAGGTTCACACCTTATGAGACTTTCACAGGTGAAGAAAAAGAAAATGTGTGTTCCTTAAAGGATCACATGGAAGAAAAGAAAAAATCTATTTGAAACATTTACAGGAAATTTGTCAGTCCTGACCCAAAACACAGAGGTGCAAATAACTTCCAAATCAACCATTTATTTTTGCTAAATAGATCCTGTAAAATTTCAGTCTGATCTATGTCTTTTTTCAGTAGTCATTTAGGTTCTAACATAAAAATTGCTTCAGTTCTAATGAGCTTTGGTACTCTACCTCTAGCTACTATCAATCAGTTCTAGAAAAATTTCATTCTAGAGCTATGAACATCATAACTACAACAAAAAACCCCCAGTGAATCACATAATATCATACCATCTAAGGGTCTCAATTAACTCATCACCTCTCTTTGAAAAGCAGATAAGTTGTTGAACATGGTTGGCCTTCTGAAACTACAGGCCACATTATAGGAAAATTTCAAAAGTGGCAAAAAATTACTTGGGGAATGAACTGTTTGGGTTCTTTTCTTCTTCTGCTGCTACAAGAAAAGTATAATATATTTGTATATGCTAACATTTCAGAAAAAAATAACTATTCCACTGAACCTTTAATGAAACACTATGGTAAGAACTAGATTCTGTATAGTCTTTCAGTTTGTACTTTTATTACCAAACGCTGGAATATAAAACTGTACTATACGCATCAATATTTAAATTTTAAAAACTAAATTTATCTGGAGTGAAAAATTGAGAAATATTTGACCAGAAGAATGCAGAAATATCTAGCTCTTCCTGTATCATAACACCAACATGCTCTTTGTTTCAGAAAGTGTTTACTTTCATTTTTCTATTTTCTGTGCTATTATATTTCCTTTCCTTGACAACCATAGAACATAAAAATAATATACTTATTTCAAACTTTGAAGGGCTGATTATGCTCTCAGTTACATTACTGTAAACTAGAAAAAAATAAATAACCTAAAGTTGGCAAAGTTAGATCAGTTTTCAAAAGGGAGAGACAAAAACAAAAATCAGAAGGATTGAACAAACATGTTTATAACAGTGAGTGAGACTGATTATCTTCTGTAACTGTTTCTTCTGCCCCCTCCAAAAGGTTTACCCCTCTACCCCCACCAAACAGCATATAGCTGGCTACAGAATTCTCATCTGCAATGAAAAATCTTCTTTAATACACAGATAAGGAAGACAGGTCATAAACTTAAACCAGCACCTTTCAGAAGTGAGGGCACAATGTTGGCATGAGGTACGTTAGAGGATCATGTGAGACCCTGTGCAGCCTTGGCACTGTTTGGTGATGATCATAGAATTCTGAGGGACTCACAAGTCACTCAGAAATCCAGATCACCTCCTAATATTTTAATACCCTCTCCTTTTCTTCAGTGTAGCAAACAACTCTATGAATTCTAAAAATATCTCTCTATTTGTGTAACAATAATTAGAGTTATGTCTAAACTTACTGTGTTAGTATGGACAAATTGGGTACTACGGACTTCAATTTACTGGCTGAATAAAAACATCATAATTGTTCTTGCTCATGAACCCTCACAGTGGATAGTCTCAGATAAAAGTTGTGTGGTCATTTGATGTCTATCACATATAGATTTTTTCCTACCAGGTACCAGTGAAACGACAAGACTTCAGACAAATAGTGAAGCAACACAGATTCACAGATTATACAGATGTAAGGGAATATCCTAATCATCTAATTAAGTACATAAAAAATATGTACAGAACTACTAGACTGCAATCCCTCCTGCTAAAAGAGAGCCTCAACAGTAATTCACTGGTATTGATCAGGTATATTAGCATTATTTTCATTACTGAGCAAGGACTTCTAGTCTCCTATTGCTCCTTGAGTATGTATTTATATCACCATCCAAATTCAATAACAAGACTATTTAAAATAGAAAAGTTCTGTATCAATTTTTAAAATAAACAATAAAACAAAACCGCAATAAAACAAAAGAAAAGTGCAAGAACACTGAAAATGCTAAGTATTTCTAAGTATTTATGAGAAACACCATTTCTCACAATCAAAACTGTGGGATGAGAGTAGTTGATTTAGCTTGAAAAGTTAATCCGTACAAAATGCATGCACTTCCTTTCTAGCTGTTATATCTTAAGAGGACTTCATAAGGTTATCATCATTTGCTCCCCCTGTCGAAGATAGCATATCTAGTACATGTACTTTTAAGCTAATTTAAAATAAACTCAGGCATTTGTTTCCACTTGCCCTTGTTTCCATGTCAACAGCATTTAATGAATGCATCATTCCAGGAAATGTCAATAAGGAGTAAAGAGGAATGACCAAGCACTGGAAACTTCACACATGGCATGAATTCTTCACAATCATATCGCTTTAATGAAAATAGGTGAGGTCACCTGCAGCATTCACAACTGCTTTGTAATACATTCTGACCCAGATGATTTTTCACAGTTCAGTAACACCACGTTTGAAGTTTTCACTGCAAACAATACACCCACAGGACTGACCAAATGCAGTACAACAGAAGCAACCAGCAATTACTGTGTTGACTTCTGTTACTTTGATCTTCGGGTCATGACCTTTGTTTTCACGCAATCTTCAAAGCAGAGATTGTAGACTAGGTTATTTTAGAGGACACACTGCTTTGCAAGCTATTTTTCTGTGATCCCTGCTTCCTATTTGAGCCAAAAGCTTTTAAAATTTTCCTATCACCGTTACATTTCAGTTATCCTACTTTCCCTTGCCCTTACCACCAAGATATGCTTTTACAAAATATTAACACCCAAATACAGAAAGCTTAAAAAAATAAGATAAAAACTAAGAACTTACAGAGTTAGTTTTTTAATAGAAAGAAACTAAAGCCATTTTACAGTGATGGAAAAAAAAAGTAAGTTTTTAAAATTAACCAAACAAATTTACTCATAAAAATACCACAGAAGGGAACTTTCCATTTTCTTTTCCTGTCCAAGCAAAAATTCCAGTAACATAGAAATGTTTTCATCAATTTGTTCTCCTAGAAATTTAAAAGGTAAGGAGAAGTAGCAGGGATGGGTGAAAAAGCTTTTCTTTTTCCCTAAAAAATTTCCCATTCAAAAGTAATATGGTTCTTATAAGAAAACCCCAAAACCTACTTTGAGAAAAAAAATCACAATAATGTTTTACTATAAAAGGTACTGTTAATGAAAGAATAGGGAAGAGCTTTAGTAATTAAATTATAGAAATGATATACCAATGGATTACTTGAGGAACCAGACTGGAATTTCTTGACAAAAAGCATAGTTTTCTATATTTTCTAAGTATTTATGGTAAAACCTAATTATTTTTAATATATGCAATATTACTTTTAACCTCTGTTAAGATCTCTGCTAAGATCACTATGAACAACTGGACCTTAAGTTTTGTAAAAAATATTTTCCACGTTTCTTTAAGATTGAGATTTTGGGGGGGTTACAGATCTTTTCAGTTTGTTGGATTGAGAAGATTAAGCAAAGCTTTGATTTCTTGCACCTTTCTCTTTCTGGTTTAGGAATTAAATAGCCTGAACTCTAATTGAACTCAGTAGGAACAAAATTAAAGCTCAATGAAAAATGAAGCTGTGGTTCTAATGGTCACTGCAAAAATTTACAAAAAGAAGTTCCCATTTAGAACAAAACAAAGCCAGCTGAAGTTATGGTAGAGCACAGTGTTTACATAATTCAAGTTCACTGAAATCCAATCTTTTGATGCTTTCTGGCAAATTTCTCAAAAAAACTCTTATGAAAAAAAGCTATTTCAAACCATCAAAAAAATGCTGTAACTGGAAGAAAAAGTTGTCCAGGATGCTTCAGAATGTGTATTCAAAACTCTGAATTAGCTATTCAGAGTAAAATTACAAGAGTACTTTTAATCAGTTCCATCATGTAGGTGAATATATATTCCCCTAAAGACAGGTAGGTAGGTAGATAGATAGACAGAAAAACAGATAGATAGCTGGATCCATGCTTTTGGGTTATGAATCTAATGTTGTCTAGCAAACACATTTCATATAATGCAACAAATAATAATGGAAAAGGATCAGGAAGCTTTCATTAGAACAGCAGAACCATAAATCATTCAACTAATTAGAAGCCCATTCTTCTTTATTAACAGAACTTCAATTAACCTAGCTTATATGGAAAAAAATACCCAGAGTTTTGAAAAATTGAGAGGAAAGAGAATGGAAGCAATGTTGCAGTTTCCAGCAGATACATAAATAGAATCACTTCACACTTTGACATGGTGGTTTGTCATGACATGACCTAAAACTACCTTGACCTCTCTGAAATCAACATTTTTGCATTGAAATGAAACAAGAGACATGCTTGTTTTGATGTATGGCTGTGTGACATATTATAAATATTACATCACATAACCACAGAGGATGTCAATCAATAAAGAATTTTTTCAGAGAGCACTAAATGAACCATGGGTTCTTGCCTCTGAATGGCTCCTTTAACGTACTATTTTTGCTTAAATGATTAATAGGAGACATATTGTCAGAAAACACACTTAAAGTGAAAAACAGTAAACTGTAGAAATATCATTCATTTTTTAAGCAATTTTCTAGTGCACATGTCACATAAATTTACATAGAGACAGTACTATTATATTCTCATAAGCTAGATAGTAGGCATACCTTCCACTTAAGTGTGAATGCAATGAGAAGATATTTTATTAAATTTAGGCTGTTCTACTTTGTGAAAACCAAAATACTACAAGCTAAACTTGGATTCAAAAGTGGAATTATTAAAAGATGAAAGTCTGACAAGAAGAAAACACTTCTCAAAAATTTGAAACAAACTAAAAAGTATATGCACATTTGGGACAGCTGTGCTGATGTTTCAAAGTACAGCATTTCCTAGAGCATTGAATTCAAGACACTTCCCAATAAACCTGTTTATATTGTTTTGTATTAGCTCCTACAGCAGAGTTTAGAGTACATGAAGATAAAATCAGAGTTTTATTATATAAGTCTGAATACTGCAGGTGATTTGCTAATAAAAAGCAAGCTCAGGCTGTGCAAGGTTGGCAACCTGGTTGTACTGCCTGGTTCCGACTTGCCTCTGACTGCCATTTTCAACCAATGTGAAAAATGCCAGCACACAAAGACTGAAATAATGTTTCAGATGTGAGCAAGGAAAAATACCTCTAATGACCTTTTTTTTCTTCATAATCAATGTCTCCTTGCCTAAAGGTTACATCTATTAAAATTACAGATATTCCGTAAGTTTTGGATCTATAGTCATAATCATTATCAGTCAAAAGTATTTCTTTTTTTTTTTTTTCAAAAAACAACCATTGTAATTTTAGCAACATTTCAGTTGGATCAGTTGTACTTACATATTTTATCAGGCTTTCATATTAAATTTCAGATGACTTTTTGTGTAATCTAGCTCATTAAAATTACATTATAGATATAGTTTGGATTTTTTTAATTGGAATCTAACTGCTCTGAGTAAGGCAACACAATAGAGGAGGAGTCCTGTATTAATAGTGCCTTGATAACTACAGTAGAAGCAACTCAGCACCATATCAAATATGAGTAGAAGACAATGCAACCGGTTATCTCAGTGTAGTGATTTTTTTTTTTTATTGCCTGTCACCCTTAGTGTATGTGAATGTTGCCTTATCTTGGCCTTAAAGAATGAAATACTGTGAGTAGGGGCATATGAGCACCCACATTCAGGAAATCCTGTGCACACCTGCTCAACTCCAACATGTGCTATACAGCACTGAAATATTTCTTGAAATAGGGTTCCTGAGAGTGATCTCACTGAAATGGGGTTACTCAAATCCCCAGGTGTTTCATGGTAGAATATGTGACATTGCTTTCAGAAAAGCATAAATGATTGTTTGAGACTCTGGGCTGACTTTAGTTCAATATTTTTCCAGTAGTAAAACAAAACTGACATGTCTTATTACATCTACAAGCAAAAACACTAACCTGTACCTCTGGTAGTCATCCTCATCCTTTTCTTTGCAGACCAGCTCATTTGGGCAAGCAATGTTTCCAAGCAAACTGAGATACTGTAGTGAGGGCACAACTTCAGCCAAATGGTCCAAAAGGCTTTCTAATTCTGTTATGTGTCAGAGGTTGTGGGTTAAGGATTCAATGACATTAATGAAAAAAGCATTTAGAGTTGCATCACTGCTGATTTAAACATACATTTCAATAACTGACAATCAAATTTAGTATGGCATTCAGGAAAATGTCACATTAATTGTTCCAAGGGCAAACAGGGATAAACTTCAGTCAGTTTTTTGGCATGGAATGAAAGAATTGGGCTGTTTTGTCATTCTTTTCTCCTCCTTTCTTTCCTAGGTGGTTCACTACAAAACATTAAAACTTTGACAAAATGATGGATGCTGTGTGGTAAAATGGCTAGCAATTGCTGGAGCCATGAAACTTTTCCAGCATGGAAACAAACAGTTAGTTTCACAGCACATTCATCACTAATATATTCAGTCCACTGGAAAATGAGTTTAAAAAAAAAAAAAAGAAAAAGAAAAAGAAAAAAATCAAACCACAACAACCCACGTTCACTCCCAGCATATAAATGCTTTGAGTGTCACAGGAACACATTAGTAACCACTCAATTAGTATAAGTCAATTAATGCTTCACTAAGTGCAACTTAAACACTTCAGTGTTACAATTATTTTGTATATGAAGCTTTAAAGACTTGGAAAGTATAATTTTTTGCATTACAACAGCCTTATATTTTGATGTTCATGAAGCTTTTTAACTTAACTATATTCCTTGGAACATAAATAAGGATGATACAATTATTATTGTAAACCTTCATGAAACAAACAAGCAAACAAAGGTTAAACTATTTTTAACTACTGTAATACTGGAGATTACACCTTAGGTTTAAGCATAACAACAATATTCAACCATTCGCACACTGTCAATTAATCAAATAAATTATTTTGTTACAGCTTAGTTTGACAGTCTCTAAGACTCAAACTATACATTCTTATTTACTTCAATTTACATACAAAGATATAGGTGTGATTCTCAAAAAATATGCCATGTATATGTGTGTAAAAAGTTTCCAATATATAAAAATCAACTGACTTAGACAAGAGTAATAATTGTTCAAAACCATTAAAGGACATTTCATTGTTCTGTTTTTATCCACTCCTTCTGTTAGAGTCCACAACTATTGTCACAACTATTGTTTTAAATTCTCAGCTCACTTGCGTTGCTATTATTTTTACTTGATTTATGTGTTTCTGTTATCTTTGTTATTTTTGGCTGATGGAATTTACTTTATTTCTCACCCCAATATCTTAAGGGCAGCAAAAGCAATACAAAATGGAAACAGCAGTTTTGTTGTTAAAATTGTGGTCTTCCTTTCATAAGCCTGAAATTTTATTTTATTTTCAAACACACATGAGGATCATGCCAACAATTACTGATTCTCATCTACTAAAATCAATGTATCTACACTCACAGTTAATGTTCTGTCCCTTAAGGTCCAAGGAATCATAATCAAATATTCTCCATGAGTGAGAAAAATGAGAGTTTGAAATAAGTTCTATGAATTCATCAAAAAGGTAAAAATGCTAACTTTTAATTTGGCAAAGCCACATTTTAGAATGCTACATGCCAGTAAGTAATCTACCAGACCCTTAGAAACATTATCTTTTTGTAGCATCATATGATACAGGTCTTTGTGAGCTGGGTGAATTATCGATCAAAATTTGGTGCTAAATGTCATACCTGGACCTCAAGCTCACACATACACTTTTTCATGGCTCTTTCAGGAAGTATGTGACTGTGATAGGAAGCTCACAAACTGTTTTTCCACAGATGTTCAAGGGAAAAGCTTTTTAAAAGTTTCCTAAGACTGTTAGAGAAGTACTTGAATCTGGCACCTGCCCTCAGCCAGGAGAAACACTTAATTTCTCACAGTATTACTTAGGTTGCAAAAAGGTTCCCTGAGAGAGTTTACTAATAAAGACAGTTATTTCCATAACACCTAGGAGGTTAGCTACTGGAAGGGTTTGATTGTATATGGTAATTTCCTATCAAAAGGAAAAAAATACAAAACAACACAAATCCACCAACAAATTATTCAAAATTTTTGCTTCTTTTATGGATTAAACATGCAGGATTTTTGCCTGTCAATTCAATAGAGCTTTTTCTTGTATAGAAGCTTTTCTCCCCAAAAGTTTGCTAAATGTGGAGTATGACATGTATTCTAACTCATCTGAACACGCAGACTTCAAGGAAAATATCAAAATGCATTTAGAATGTAATGAAGAGCAGTGTCAGTGTAGATATGCAAGTGTAAGACTGTGCCTCAAAGTCCTAAGGAAAGCAAAAAGCAGAGACACCACTTTCAACAAGAGTTTTAGGTAAATAACAGGAGTTGATAATCTGCGTCTCAAAAATCTAAAACTCCCAAATTTGGAAATTAGTGTCTAGGTTCCAATACCTTGTATCTAATACCTTGTATCTAAACCCTGAGCACTGAAACACCCCTCTAAAAAGTATACTGGGCAAGAGATACTTATCATAAATAGTTATTAAGAGTGGTTATATCGTAAATAAAATAATTAATTATTTTCTTTAGGACTTTAACTACCTTTTCTTTTCCTTCCTAAAAACAAAACAAAACTCAAGGTACAGATTGATTTTCTAAGAAGCCCATTCACCTACCATCACAGTTATTCTTTACAAAGCATGTAGGAAAAGTAAATGTTATCCTGTTCAAATTCTCACAATTAAGTATTTTTCAGAAATCAATCCTAAGTCATGGTGCACTTCTAGTGTACTGTTTAGTTGATTAGCATGTCATATACTTATTTAACTATGGAACTATATGATACCATCAAAAGTATTAAGTCTTTCTAAAACAATGCTAGGAAAATATGGAGGGATAAAATCAAAAGCAAGTCTGAAATTTTATTGCCAGCTTCCTTTTTTATGGTTTATTGTTGAAGTCTAAGGAGGGTCATACGGGTGCAATCAGAGCCAAAGAGCTGCAAAATTCTGCTGTGCTATTTCTAAGAACAATTTCAGCTCCATTCTCTTCAAAAATGAAAAATCACAACTAAATCCATGGACAGTGCTGGTGAAAATGTATTTACTTATCAAAGCTCTATGAAAACAGCCCTGGACTGATCTTTCCAAAGTCAGTGTCACTGATCATCAGGTGAATATGTAACAGTGATGCCAATACTTACACTAGAGTCCACTGTTTGAAAAATGGTTTAAAGTATCACTGTTATGACAATTAAAGTGCCTTAGTGTGGCAATCCATCTCCTAATTCAAGTGTCATCATTACCAATCCACTAATGCCTCTCTTTCTAACAGATGTTGACTAAAATAAAAATTTGTAATAATTAAAATTTTAAACTCTTCAGCAATACAGCTCACAAGCTACAACATCAATTCTGGGCAACTATACAACAATGGACCTCTCCAAAAATCTAACCTGGTCTTCATGAACAATGAACAGAAACATACTGGACATAACTTAAAATTTCATCCTCATCAAAAGTCTTTACTGATTTATTGCACTGATTCTAGCTTTAAGTTAGGGAAACATTTAAAAGAACTGCGTATCTCTCAGAGATTAATTTTTTAAAACCCCTTCACCCTGTTACACTTATATATACACCACACAAGCAGACATATGCACAATCAAACACAACCTCGTCACTGTATTTTCTGTTTTGAAAAACAAATGCCACCAGCAATACTGAAACATAGCAACAGAATTATTTGGAAAACACAGTACTATGGTGCATCTGGTTTAGCTGCAGAGCAATATCATTTTTTTGCAAGTTTTGTGGAACCAAAAATATCCTACAAATAGGCATGTTCTGACTTTCCTGTTTTCACTCACTGTCTGGTACCCAAGGTTGCTATTTTTTGAGGTTCTCCAGAAGGCAAAAGAACAATCAAAAGCCCAAAGCAAATTAGGTATCTCCTTTCTCTGGCTCAGAATTAACTGTCAATGCAAGCTTTTAACATTTTTGTTTGTTTTGCAGAAAATCCTTTAACATGGGTCAAAATTCTAGTGATAGTCAGGACTACGTCCCCCTACAAACCCTTCAAAGACAAGTTCCCAGGAAATATTACATTTAAGTAAGGTCAAAGTTGTAAACTCTTTGGTGGATAGTATAATGCCACTTCACTTAGTCAATGTTAGGAGAACCTTGCAAGCTGGGCCAGTCATTGTGATGCTAAGCTGTGTCTTTTATACTTTTGAGAGGTTGAGCAGATTCACACAGAAACTACTGGATGATGTTGTATGAGCTCCAGTATTCCTGATTTCTGTGTTCTCAAGAGCTTCTTTAGCTGTGTCCCTCCAGCATATTTCCAGGGCAGAGTAATATAAGGTTTAAGTACTAAGAACTAATGCTGGTCATCCCCAAACTCCATACTATTTCTTCCTTACTGGTATTCTTGGTATAACCACATTCATGGTTGTTCTCAGGAATAACTGCAAGTCAAACCTATGCAGAAACACCTTTGCTAACGGTTTCTAAATTAATTTATCCTATCCAAACAAACCTATACGTGTTTCTTATCTTACTGTGCAATTATTTTTTGGATATAGTTTGAAGTATGCAAGAAAATCTAGGATTTCTTTCCGTAAACTTTTTGTCTGCTAGCAGTTTTTTACTAGTCACACATTCAAATACGGAAAAGTAACAACTCTTGTGCTTTTTCTCACTGCTTTCCAAGTTGCTCCACCATTTCCTTTCAAAAAGTCATTCCACTTCCCAGAGGAGCTGCAGGAGAACTTTTCATAATAAGGAACTTCATTGATTACAGCTTTTGGAAGTTCTTGGAAGCAAAGAGACAAAGTAAAGAGCAATCAGTTTTACATGGAGAATATTTTTGAAATATGTACATGAGAATATCAGAAATATCATGCAGAATTCAGACCACCACATAGAAAGACCCCAAACTCTCATTTAAAAATCTTCTGTCAACTAATTATCTGTCATGCAGGTGCTGCAATCAACTTAACATTAAAACAGCTGGATAACACTTCTACCAGAGTCATGAATGAGAAAGGTACCTATATTTATTCCCAGTTGAAACATTTGCTTCAATTAAATTTATCACAAACACAATGCAGCAATCACAAGCTATCCTACAGTCAAATAGCCTTGAAGCAGAAGTTACCAATTCTCCTCTGAATGCAGTGTGAAAAGATCTTTGCCACCTGAACGCTTTTCCATTAGAATGTGCTAGGTCTTCAAGGTTGGATAACCACAGAAATAGCTTGCAATATGCAAGTATACATCTTACCCTTCCCTATGTGCAATCGGATGTCACACACAGCCATTTGTATGCCTCACTCTGGCTTGAACCTTATCTGGTAGGGAGCTAGGACCTTCAGATAAGGCCTTGTTCACTGACTTTGAAAGCATTTTGTTCAAGAAAGAAAGGGTGTGGCATGGATGGTAATTAACTAAGTCCATATATCTCATGGAGAGCTTCCTGCATACCAAACACATGGGAAAAAAATCCCATTCTGCCTCCTGGAGCAGCATTAATTTTCTCTGTGTAGCTGGAGTTGCCAGTGATTTTAAAGATATTTCAGAATCCTGATAGTTCCAAGGCTGCAGATTTGAAGACCAGGTTTCAATGCTGTCAAGTATACAAATGTGAGAATGTTTCTATTCCTGCAATAAAATTACATTTCTAGTTCTCTATAGTGGTCCATCATGAAACCATATGTTCTTTCTCACAAAGATTACTTTTTGTTTAGATTTTTTTTTAAACATTATTCTGCCCAAATGTTGCTCAAGGTTTTGAAGGCATCACAGTCAAGAACAAAGTAGCAGCTCAGGATTTTTAAAAAGGTTTTGATATCTGGAATTGAACTCATCCAAGCACTGCTGTAGAACAGCACAAGGAATCACCTGGACTGAAGACTACTTCCCTCTTCCACAGATGTTTGGCATCAGGCATTCACAATACTTAATTTCTACTTCAGGCACACTTTATTCCAGAAGAAAGATTTTTGGCTCATCAGATACAGCAGTTCTCTAACAAGTCACATAGCTTTCACTAAATCCATAATTGTGGCATGGAGAACTCAGAAGTATATGCAGGAAGAGTGCTGTACTGAACTGAATTGAACTTAGCTCAGTTCTCTGTTTAGTGGAGATGGGGAACCATGCATTATAGGAGATAATTCGTGTCTTTAATATATTCACTCAATCTACACATCAAATCCTCAGCACTTAACATAATGAGATTCTGTTCAGGCTGGGACTTCTGTGTCTTCAAGTACTTGAGGACAATGTAGAAACAAGCACAGAGGCAGAATAAATTACAATCTACACTTTGGAGGTTAAGCAAATCTGTAACTATTAGAAACCATGACAAGACCTGTGTGAAGACACATTATATTAGAAGTAGCTATTGGTATATTCTTCAGATGAGGTACTCACTAGGCTGTTTTCAAAGACTCAGAAACATGTAATCCTTACATCTGAATCACACTGATAACTCCTCTTGCCACAAGCAATGTATATACCATTATAGGCATTCTGCCCAGCTCTAGATTTCCCACTCTGTCATATGAAATATTTTGGTTTTCCTTTAAACTATTCAAAACCTAGATCTAGATTCAATCATAGAATATGCTGAGTTGGAAGGGACCCATCAGGATCATTGAGTCCAACTCCTGGTCCTGCACAGGACATCCCAAGGATCACACCATGTGTCTGAGAGCATTGTCCAAATGCTTCTTGAACTCCGTCAGGCTTGGTGCTGTGACCACTTCTCTGGGGAGCCTGTTCCAGTGCCCAACCACGCTTCAGGTGAAGAATCTTTTGCTGATATCTCACATAAACCTCCCTTGACACAGCTTCATGCTGTTTCCTTGAGTCCTGTCACTGGTCATGAGAGTGAAGAGACCAGTGCCTGCCTCTTCTCTTCACCTCAGACACTATGTTAGGAGGGGCCAAATGTTGTTTACACATACAATGTCACACAATAAGTGAACCATGTAAAAGGAGTAGAAAGCTCTTATCAGAACTACCAAAACAAGATATGGATCAAAATGAAGCCATAAAAGGAGATAAGAGTACGGTAATATTAAGAAATACCCAGGAAAGATCTCATATGAGCTTTAAGTTTTATATGGCATTCCAATTTTCATAGGGGTCAGTTTGGATTTTTGTTTGTTTTCATCTCTCTCTCACTCTCCTTATATATGCATAATAATATTCCACCAATCGACATTTTGTTTCAGGTCAGCGTTCTTTCCTCACTTTTGTCCTTTATGTAGTGCTACTGTCATATACTGAACAATCTTTTCTGTATTGTATTTCATTATTCTATTAAATGTACATTTTTTTTAACATTTTTCAAAGAATTCAACAGAGAAATAATTCATTAAAAGAAGAGATTCAAGTTCAAATAAGATCTTTTTCAAATATGGCAGTCACATTGAAGAGAAGAATCTAGAAGGTTTCTGTGCTTCTGAAGACTGATGTATCCTCCCTACAAGAGATCATTGGTCCCTAGGGCTCAAAATGTTAATGATGGACAGTGGTTAGTTTTTCTTCCCTGGGCAGTTTGCAACTCCTCTATTAAATTATTGGTAGCACACTACAAAATGCATACATTATTTCTATAACCTGGGTAGCTTAATACTCTCAAAGCTCTAACTTCATAGTTTTTAGATTGAATTAAAAAAAATCCCAGGATAGATCAAATCTTTCTTACCATGTTATCATTGATTTTGAGAGCTTACTCACTTGACAATACTATTTTAGTATGTCTGTGAGACTAGTAGAAATTCTTTAAAGATTACCTCTGACAGGATTTTTTTTTTCTCTGATTTTGTTCACCAAGTTATTATTCAATACCCCTTCCCTCCTTTTGGCAAGTGTAAAATTTCTCCTTGACATTCCCTCAAAGGACAAATATAATGACACGTTTTTTGGTCTTATGGCCAAATTTATATTTCATGGTTAGTAGAAGGAGATATACTGCATCAGACATACCACCACCCAATGTATCACCAAAAATGTTCTTGTTCATTGTTCATCAGTTCAGATTTTACTATGGCACCAAACAATAAAAAATAAAACCAGTTATTCAAATCCAACCCACAGTATCCTACATTAACCATAAATCTAGCCAAATACCTAGTACAGTAACGATGGTTACTGTTCAAGAAACACTCTTGGCAAATTTCCAGGGCTCCAAGAAAAAAAAGTTACTCTGCTGATTTTTATTTATTTATAGAGTCAAAAATAAGTGCAGAAATCGTAGAATCTGCAGTTATTTTTATTCCCCTCAGTAGGAGGATTTTGCTTTAGTAGGAGGTAAATTGCTCTCTGTTTACATTGTCTGTAATAAAAGCCTGCAGTTGAGCAGCTTTGTCCTCACGCTGCAATTACAAGGAGAGGGCTTTAACAGTCTGTGCTCTAAGACTCTGCAGGCCTCAGTTGGCCTTTCGGCCACAATTTGATCACCCTTCCCTTCTGTAAAATCTTATATTACACATGTTCGAATCTCCAGAAGGGTCAAAGTATGGGAAAATTATGTAATAATCAAGTCTATGCCCACAGAACTTGCAGATAATTAGTTTTTACAGACCACTATCTATAAGCCCACAGACTAGGGGCTCAGATTGAGCAGAGTACTTAGACAAATGCTGAAATATTTATTCTTAATAAACAGAAACAGGCACTAACTTCAGGCATATGGCAAAGTGACTGATTGGTTACAACTGGACTGAACCATACATCAAAATACTTTAATGTATTAAGACCTTGATTTGGATAGTATTTTATATGAATTTATACAGAACTGGAACACCAAGTGACTTGCTTTTAGAGCTGCAGCTCCACAGTAGATATCAAATTGGGGATATTACAGTTTCATTAAAATAGAGAAAAGTATTAAAATTTTTGTGTGTCTTTTTTTAAATTAATTTTATTTTACTTTAATGTTTTAAGAGCTATTTAAAGTATAAAATCGTAACAGCATTTCACTGCACGTTCTATTCCACTAGAGGTCAGCCTGCAACAGAACCCCAAGCAAACACAGGAACTGCTGCACACTGGTAGCACTGACATTATTTTCTTTCTCTATTTTATCTGTTAGAAAGATTTCTTCAGAGCCATAACTTAGATCTCTCACTAAAATGGAGCAACAGGAAGATATAATGGTGCATTTCATTTATGAATGACCTATAATAAATTACTATGAAGTATTCCAGGTGCCAAACGAGAGAATGCTTTGTCTGCACATGAGCTATATTTCACATACTTTAATTTGGCTGACACATAAAACTCATTTGACATTTTGCAGGTATTTCTTTGAAAGGATATTTGGTTCTTGTTGAGCGTTAAGGTATGGAGGTGGGGTAACCTGGGTAACAGAAGGTCATTTCCAAGTAGATTGTTGTCCAGGATCAGTTCTTCCAAGTAACTGAATGTTTTCAGTCCTTCTAGTGACCTGCAAACGACAAAGGCAACAGGAAAAATGATACTCCCCTAAATCAGGGAGGCCATTATGAGCTGAAATAAATATTTTAACCTTCCCTTTCAGGAGTGGGAATAGTTTTGGTTTGGGCCTGTCAGAAGAGTGAATGACAAGCATTAGTGGCAAGGGGAGTGCTGGCACTGCAACACATCCTTCACATGCTGGCAGGATGAAGGATGCGGGTCACTTAGTGAGTAGCCAGGATCCAAAACAAAAGGCTTCAGATATGGGGCCTGCAGGATGAATTTGTCAATGTCTTGTGCCTTCAGGCACCCAGCCTCGCCTGACCCTAACCTCCATTCCCAAGATAAATAACTCTGTCACAGTTCACCTTCATTCCCTGGACACAAATTTAAGTTGTCATCCATCATTTCTGCCAAGAAATATCATACCCTGCTAACAATAATAAATACAACTTCAAGTATCATTTCTTAGCAGTTACCTTACGTGCAATAATAGGAAATGTAGAAGAGGGTTTTTTTCCCCCTTTTTATTAACCACTTAATTAGCTTTTTCAGTCCCTGCAAACAAAGTGAAACGTTCTCTACAAAATAAAATGCAGAATTACTCTGGAGAGAAAAGGCATTTGTTTTCTTCTCAGAACTTACTATCCCACTGTCAAGCCACAGGTCAGACTGCAGAGAGTAGCTTTAAAAAGGAGCATTTGACAACATGGCAGTGAAGATGATGCCTTGTAAATAAACAACATTCTGGTGGTATTCATTCCTCCGATAGCAAAGTACAAGAAAAAAAAAAAACTAAAAAAGAACATTTCAGTACCTTATTAAGACACCTATTCCAAGCTTGATTCTTAATGCTTGCACATTCCAACAGTAAAAAAAAAAACCAAAACCACACATTAATCAACTAAGACACATGATATACAAAGCATACGCACAGACACGCATTCACAGCTAATTCACCTACCAGACACCTAAAGATATGCTGAGATTGCATGAGTTGACAGCTGATCTACTATGCCTACCAGTGGGAAGATCATCACTGTATCTCCTGGCTGTTTTTTAAAATGTGATGAATAAGGGAGATGCAGTCTGTACTGTTTATTCAGTTAGCAATGACATTTATACTGAGGGGATTTCCTCACCCTCTCCCTAGTTTTTGGCAAAGATCAAAATGTCCCTGTTAGAATGTTCTAAAGACCCTACTACTGGAGGAAAACACAATTATTAGAAAGTATATGGGTTTCAAATCAGACAATTTAACATTCATCTGTACAACAACAACCAGATCCAGCTTTTGTAGATACAACTTACTAACAATTTATAGATCACAGTTAGAGGGTTCAAGCAACAGAAAGAAATCAAGTCTGTGACCTTTACACTGGGTACTGTACACTAAACTATGAATATTCAAGTAACATTCGCACAACAGTGAAGCAGTGTATTTCAGTCCAAGGACTCTAAAGCGCTCACAGTCCCTTGACTTGAAAGGGAGGTACAACTATTACTAATGACATTTTGATGCAGGGCAGTCAGACCTGAGGAAAATTTGCCATGCCTATACCCTATGGCCTATCTATTTTGTTACAACGCCTTGAGACTACAAGTTCTGAAGCAGAAAAAATAAAAGCCTCTATTATAAACATTATACTGAAACAATCACCACAGTAAGAGTCACACTTTTTGCACTTGCCTTTAACAAGTAATTTTGAAAAAAAACCCCTCAATTCAGCCTACAAAAACTGTACTCCTTTAAGAGCTGTGCTAGCATGCTGCACTGAGCCAGCTAGTTCAGCAAAAGGTTGCAACAGACTTGGTTTTGCCAAATTCAAGATCAGAGGAGAAATCAGCAAACATCTCAGACAGTGCTTTCCCCCAAGTACCTTTAAAAGGCAAAATAACCCAGAGGAAGTAGCAGTGAGTTTATCGAGCTGTTATGAGTTTTCATTTCAGTTTGACAAACCTAGTTTAGCAAATTCCCCTTAAATACTCTTTATTATATAAATAGTGGATTATTTCCAAACCTCGCTTTTCAATGTATGACTTTGACTTGCCAAAAGAGTTCAGAGAAGGCCACCTCCTTGTCAGCACCACAGAGCCTTATGGGATGTTAATAGGTCCTTTGTGAAAAAACACTGCTTGGGCTCTGGTCAGTGTCAGCATCAAAATACACATTGTTCCTGAGTTATGTTATGCAAATATAATACTCTTATCATGAGAATCAGCAAATGGTTGGCAACTGGCAAGGAGAAGAAAGCACACATCCAAAACTGCTGCAGGGGAGGCATAAAACAAAATGACAAGCCATGAAGTGGGACAAAAGGCCTTGAAACACTAGAGGGAGTTGCCTATTGAAACAGCCTTTCTTTCACAACCCTGGGCTGAACACAAGAGTACTAGTTTCATAGATAGGCAGAGAAAAGTGTGCGCAAATCTCCTTACACCTGTCTGGTTTTGATAATTTTTGCCATGTAATGTTATTAGCTGCTCAGTTAAAAAGGAGCCATGTTACACAGGGGGTTGCTTATAATTGCTGTTTTCATGTCATCAGAGCAGTGTGCACTTGGTGATTTAATCACCTAAATTCAGAGTCCAGGAAGATGGGAGGGGTTGCCACAGTACAGAGAGAGGGTGTAGCCATTAATATAAATTTACAGATATATGTTATTTTGCTATCCATGAAATTCTTTGTTTCATCTTATCCAGAAGAAAACATTAGCACCAAAAAAAAAAAAAAAGAAAGGTAAGATATGGCAAAGAAACAAAAAAGGAAATAAAAGTGTTTGTTATCATTCAGTGATTATAGCTACTGAATTCTAGGCATCATCTACCATCATGTTATATAAGAAAATACTGCCCAGCAGTTGTACTCCAAAATGTAAAAGTTTTAAGTACAATCCACACAATAGATTTATGGTACAAACTTCAGCAAGTCCCATAACTTCTGTGAGCCTCAATTTCCTATCTGCACATGGCGGATAAGAAAGGATTGCAATTGGGAATTCATATATAGAAAACATTTTTGAGAAGCTGAGACAGAAATCAGCACAAAATACTGTCATTTTTATTTTTAATGAGGATGAGAGAAATATTAATGTACTCCAAGTATTTCCTTATGAGCCCATTACAAAACAGGAGAGGAATGTGTATATATACACAGCATAGGAAGGACACAAACAACCCAAGAGAGGAGTATAAAAAGAGGGACATCCCCTAAGAAAGAGAACCAGTCTAAAATTAAGTCTGAGCTGTTTTCTCATAGTTCACGGCATTAAAAAAATGTCTTTCCATATTAGTATATTAAAAAAAATGCACAATCTTACCACAACAATACAACCAGCACTGAAGGGCCAGTGGCAAGTAGTTGTTTGCCCTACTTTAAAAAGGCCAATAAACATCACTAAGGTGGATTGCAGGGTTGCTTGTCCCAGCTCTAATGTCATGAAAGCTGCCCATTATCTCACCCACAGGTACCGTCTCAGTTACCTCATTGCAGGGCTCACACTTTGCTCCCAGAGGAGAGCAACTGCTGCCAAGAGATTTCCATTGCAATTTTCAAAGTCACATCAAACCGACAAAACATCACAACGTATTCAGTGCCGCCTCATTCAAACAGAAAAAACTTTAAGTTTCCACTGTAATTAACCCTATCCTCGTTAAGATAATTATGATCAAGCTCCCTGTCACAGCTAATATCACAGCATCATTGCCTATGGCTCACGCTTTGCCCTCATTAGCTTACAAAAACACTGCGTTAAACAGGAAACTGACTCCCTCTGCAAAACGACTTAAGATGTTCTGTAAGCAGACAGTAAATAATCCTTTAGAATATAAAGGTCTCAGAAATGTCATTTTATCCAAGTTCTTTGGCTAATCAGCATGATTTCTTCCAGCTTTCTTTTCCATAATTCATTCATGGTTTGTAAAAAGTTTTAATCATAAAGGAATGTCATGACAGAAATTTTTTTTCTTTATATGTGTATGCATGGTAATTGTCAACTACACTATTTCATGTGGTCCCTCTGACCTGACAGGGATTTGGTTACAATGCAAGTAAAAAGCAAGTCTTCATTTTGGTAATATTTGACAATGAAAATATGACATTTTATAAATGAAAAAAAGCAGAACCCTCTCATGTAATAGACAAACCTTGGTACTCTGCAGTTGTCCTTGTCCAGAAGAACAAGCTGCTCAGAAGCATATGCTGAAAAAGAAGTATTCCCCACATTTTATCCCACCCCTCTATTAATAAGACAGCTGCCTCATATCTAATTGACTTTTTCCTCCTGTTTAACAGGAAAAGAGAGAGCAGTTAACAATATGTAAATGAGAGAGTTTGGGTTTAGCCTTGAAATTGATTTGCACTTTGTTGAGAAGAGATAGCCATTAGCAGAAGTTAAAGATGGAGCTGTTACAAAACAAGAGCTTTTTAAAATACCTTTTTTCTTGCCTTTAATGTTTTAACAGATTTCAGGAGAGCAGAATCAACATGAGAACCCTTGTACTTGATAATTTCAGTATTTAAATAGAAATGCAAATTCTATTTCTCCAGCACCTGCCAGCCAAGGAGCACAAAGCATTTTTTTTAAACATTAATGAATTACTTTTCAAAGACCTGCTGAGCTTAAAATTCCATTTTGTAGTAAAGCAGAGAGAGGTTAAGTGACTAACGGAAGGTGACCTCCAGCAATTTTCTAAGAGACAAGAAATAACACCCAGAAGTCTTGACTTCTAGTCCTTTGACTTAACCTCACCAAAATAAAACAAAGAGCAACAAATATGTTTATACACATATATATATATATGAATCAGGCAGACAAAGTACAAGTAAAGCATCAAAAAATGATCCTACAGTATTCAAAAATAAATGCTTTCCCCCACCTCCCAGTCCTACTTAGGGTTTATTCACAGTTTTCTGCATGATAATAGATCCAGAAAGAAAACAGAATGAAGTATTTAATGGACAGATCTGACATGACTTCTGGACCAAGGCAGAACACCAGAAAAGAAAAA